AGCTGTTCGTTTCCTAGGATACCCCTTCTGGAACTTTTTATAAATTGGTTTTATTGTTCAGCCAGTTTTCTAATTTATTGGTTAGGTTACCACCACCCCAAAAAGAACCCCTGTAAAAATAGCCCCATTCAATGAGCATCAGAAGAGAGCAAATGAGCGAGAATTGCCGTTCCTAGGTGTCAGGACATAAGAAAGATGGGAGTGGGGATGAGACAAATGGATCCTCCTATAATCTCTTGGATCCTTCCTTGCAGGACCCGTATGATCCCAAGACGGTTGAGACAGTGCTCCATCTATTGGACACAGACTGTGATGGCAAAGTGGGTTTTGAAGAATTCACGGTCCTGCTGTTCAAAGTGGTCAAAGCCTGTTATAAAAAAGTTCAAGAATGCCAGGTGCCCGCAGATGGACCTTCCCAGAAACACAACATCTCCACGCAGCAGCAGGAGATCCAACTTCCCCAGGTGCCACCCTGTCCTTGTCAAAAACTTCTGCCCCCCAAAGAAGTTCTAGATGCAGAGGAACTGCCTCAAGGACAGGAAAAGGAGAAGCCCACGTTGGAGATCAGCTGTGATCAGCCAGGTAAGGAGCAGCTCCAGCAGGAAGAGGTTTCTGCACACCCAAGAACCCAAACTTCAAGGGTTCAGTCAATTCAGAAAACTATTGAGGAGATAATAAGGGGGAATCCCACCTGCCAGACCTCGCAGGTGGAAATGAGAACTGAGCAGGGAACTGAGCAAGCTCAGGAGCATCAACGTGCTGTTCCACCCAAGAATCGATGTCTTCAGGAGCCCCTCAGCCCAGATCAAGAACCAAGTCAAGATGTCCTACAGAACGTGACCCAGCAATCATTCCAACAACATCAGGTGGAAGAGCGTTGCAACACCAGGCAGAAGGAAGAGACCTCCCAAACATTGGTGCAAGAAAGGCAAACTCAGCAGTCCGCTCTGACAATGGAGCAAATTCCAACTGGGAAAGTAATTCATGAACCATTGCAAGAAACTCATCAAGGGCCATTTGGTGGAATGAACCAGCAAGTGCAAGCTGAAGAAAAAAGATCAGCATCTGGCCACATCAGGAATCCACAGGTGGTCCAAATATGTGACCAAGAATTCAATTCTGTCACGCAGGGACAGCATCAGATTGGCCAACAGAGACGTCAGGCTCAAGGAATTGAGCAGAGTTCTGTTGTCCAACAGGACCAAGAAGTTCAAGTTCTAGGACAGGTCATAAGTGGACCCCAGGAACATCAAACATTAACACCACAGGTCTACCAATCCCACCAAGAAGAGGAAAGGAAGCCCCCAACATTAGGACAAAGCCAATATGGTCTATCAGAGCAAAGAGCTTTGCCTCAAGAGGTGATCAAGCCTCAAGTAGCTGAGAGATGCCCACATTGTGAGTCTCCAGAGACCACAGTTGCCCAAGGCTCCCAAGAGTCTTCTGCCAGATGGCCATTCCAAACATCCCGCTCTCAGCTACGACAGAAGCCACTACACTTCCCTCCTCCATGGTCTACAAAGCAATGAACACACCCTAGACAGCCAAGATTTCTTCCACATAGCCATGGAAGTGGAGATGATCCACCGAGATCAATCCAGCTCACCCAGGACTTGTTGAAGCTTCAGAGAAAACCTTCCTGGGTCTGCTCACCAACTACATCTACCAAATTTGGGGGTGTGGGGGGAGAACCATGGCCAAAGTCCTCTGCTAGTTGCAATAAATGCCAGGGGTAGGCTGCATTTAGTTTGGTGGATCTCAAGTAGTTTAGACCTTGCTATGCTTATTTATGAACAGCCAGGATGTGTGCTTCAAACATGCTCCTTTGCTATATGCAAGGAATCTTTTGGAAGCAACCTGAGATATATGTAGCTATCTTCTCTCTGTCCCATCCTCTGTTTCCCAATTGGCCCACGGTCTTGATATCCAGGAGCCCAGGGAGGGCTTTTTGTTGGATACAGCCTGCATTTCCAGCTATCTTTTATCAGCAATCGTTCTACAATGTAATAAAATATTCAGCTTTACATTGGGTGAATGTCCCCTTGGTCCAATGGAAGGGCCGGCCCTCTATTAGCTGAACGTCGGAACTGTAAAGAGAAAGTTAACTTGTACATTAGATGAATGTGCTTCTGTTCATACTATGGATGATCCAGAACTCCTTTAGATCAGTGTTTCTCAACCTTGGCTATTGGGGAATTGGCTCCTGGGGAACAGCTGGCTGGCTGGGGAACTCTGGGAGTTGAAGTCCACACATCTTAGAGTTGCCAAGGTTGAGCAACACTGCCTTAGATGACCATCATATGGTAGAATGAAAGATCTGGCTCAACCGTTTCACAACTTAAGATGAGAGATGCAGACAATCAACTGTAAGGGGCTTTCATTGATTAAGTCATTAATTCATGGCCATGCTTCGCATGGATTTCTTGTGTATCTTGATCAATCTAAATCGATGCTTCTGAAATCCTGCTTCTTTCTATGATGCACTATTAAAGACATTTGCAAATACATGTGGAATGCTTACTCTTTACCACCCAATGATTTTGTGCTTAAAAAGATGCCACAGTAATCTTAGCCAACCCCTTGCAAGTTTGTCTTGGCCCTTCAATCATAGTCTACATGGCCAACCATCAGAAGAAGACATATCCACCCACTGGATATGAAGACCAACCATCAGAAGAAGACCAAGCCATCCATTGTCTGGTGGTATCCACCTATGAAGTATGACTCTTCCTGGGTCAGTTGACTCAGGAGTCAAGTCCTACTCATAAGTAGAAAGTTATAAGGCCTGCACCTGGGCCTAGAAATACTCAGGCTGAAAATGCTTCAGCTGGAAGCTCAGGGGTTGGGGGGGGGGGGATGTATTTGCTCATCAGCTTCTTTGGTAGTCCAAGCTACATGGGACTTCTAGCAAGTGATGCTTGGATCTTCTCTGGATTTTTGTTCCTGGACTAGGGTTTTGTTCTACCTCACTGAGGTAGATCATTTTGGAAATCAAGCTAACTTTGGGATCACTGTTGTGCCAAGTGGATGAGAAAGGAATAGATCCAAAATAGATTTTAAAAAAAGAGAGAGAGGATATGATTTTAAGGGTCTAATCCAACTCTGTTACAAAAGAGGGGAACATTAGCAAAAACCAACCATGAAATCTTTGGGGTGGTGAAGAACTGCTCTGCTCAACAGATCCCAGGAGATGTTAGAGTCATTCCATCTGCTGTACTTAATTTGGGTTCCCTTTAATCCAGTTTACATTTTGGCCTAAATCTGCCAGTTCTGTGTGATAATTAAAGTGAAATTGAATCACAGGAATCAGTGCAAAGTTGTTCACCCCACTCTCCACAGTGCTGAACTAGAATCTGCCTTGGGTTGTGTGTGTTTATAAGAGGAATAATTCAGCAAAAAGCCACTAGCTTTAATTCCTGGAAAGAAATCCTACAATCTCACTTAGAAACTATATCTTCACAATGCACTCAGTCAAAAACTAGTCTACCCATATATTTTAGTCTAGCCTGCTGTTGGGGAAACCCAGTTTATGGTTCAATGTGTCCTATATACCCAAAACAGCACATAGCTTTAGATAGAGAACAACCATCTGATGATCTTCAAGCACCATCTTGTGGTCATTGAATATATAGCAGATTATTTCAACCCAGATAATTTCAACAAGATGGGGTTATGGGGTATGGAATACTTTAAAGCTGTACTTCTCAACCAATCTCCCCAGCTAGGGAATTCTGGGAGTTGAAGTCCACACCTCTTCAAGCTGCCAATCATTGCTCTAGAGTATGGTGTTCCCCATCCCACACGGACAATGGTTTTGCCTCCGATGCAGACTTCCCATCATTTTCTACAATATGGATCGTGTCCTCCCTTGTTTCTAAAATGGAAGCACCCACCCGAGCGGAAAGTTGACCAAAAAGACAAACGACGTGGTCTTTGTTAGAAGGAACTGCTCTTTAATTATCTCTTGTTCATTTCCATCACCAGTGGTCCACCAGAAGCCCCTGAATCAACAAAGTCTAACCCAAATTCAGCAATTGCAAAAGTTAGAAAAAGAAAAGCAGAAAGGGGGGGGGAATAAAGATCTGAAGCGTCAGGGGCCAATGATCCGATGGGGTTGACACTCATTTGATCAACGGCGAACATATTCTACGATACGCGGGACACTTCTTTACGTCCAAATCAATGAGGAAGCATGTTGATTTCTGCTGGCTCACCTTGAAGGAGGCTATTGATTGACTTCCTCAGTTTGTTTTTAATCATGGTTACGTCATCATTACTCTAATGGCTATGAGAGGTGGAAAAAATACAGCGTTATTGAAGATATTAAGACTACAGCTACAAACGATCCTGTTTACTTCCTGGTCAAAGATTCCAAAATAAGGGCAAGCAACATGGGGCCTCCCCAGATATTGATTGAATGACAGTTCCCAGCTTCCCTCGTCACAGATAAGGTAGACCAGAGCTACTGGGATATGTAGTTTCTCAATGTCTGGAGAGTTTTAGTTACCCTACTGCTGTTTAGTCTGGCTTCAACCTGAATTTCCTAGCCCCTCCTGGCCGGCTTACGGCTACGGGGCTCAGATCTGCTTAGTTCGGCTGTCCTGCATCTGGAAATCTGCGGCCTGCTAGAATCAAGCTCTCTCTGACCACCATCAGAAGGACTCCCTAGTTCTCGTCCTGTAGGTCTAATTCGGCCATCTCTTTCTTGACGTCTCTCCCTTTCACCATATCTGGAACCAGTTTCTTGAGGCCTTCTCTGGTCTTCATCTCTGGTTTCAGGTTCAAGTATCATGGGACGTCTCCTGTCTCCCTCACTGTCCCGGGATTCATGTTCATAATCTTGCCTGTCCTGGTTGTCTTCTCTCTCAGCTGATTCACGAGTCTGGAGCCTTCTCCTCCTTGCAACATCTCTTTCTGGGGACTCAACTTTGTAGTTACGCTGCCTTCTCGGATCATCTCTCCTTCGTTCTTCATAACCTTGAGATCGGCCATATTTGGGGTCCCTGGGTTCTGGCTCATGGGATCGGGGTCTCCTACTTCTACTTTCTGTTGCTCGGGTTTCCTCCCTGTTGGACTGCTGCCTTCTCTGCTCATCATCTTCATGATGACGGGGCCTTCGGGCTTCGGCGGTGGCTT